AATATTTAAACCAACAAATGAGTTGGACGCGAAGCTGCTTGGTAGGATGGTCTTCATAGCATAGAAAGAGAAGCATAGGTACGAGCATGTGCTGGCCCTTATCTGCTTCTATCCTTTCTCATTAGTCAAGTGAAATCGGGGCTGGTTACAACTAATTGTCACCTTGAGCCAAATATCAAATAAAATGTAATGTGTTGTACGCATATGTCGATGGATTATTCAATAGAGCCGGTGACACCACGGCTCGAAGAGGCAAATGGCTCTAGAGAAATGAGTCCAGACAGTACTGCTTATGCGGGTTAAGCTGGAACGAAAGTTGTCGCCAGACTAGGTGTAAACAGTGGCGAATAGTGCCATTAATGGTATTTTTGATTCTATGATCTATAGCTTAAGTCCTATGGTATACAAATGTGCGGGGATGCGGATATGCCACTATATATATACACACATTCGCACATCGATATCCGAAATAAGTGATGCCACAAGCACTGTCAACATCATTGCAATCACTGCAAACAAGAAAGCGGCGCCTCAATTACGTTTCTTACTTGCCCATAATATTAATACATAAAACCTCATCGAAAAATGAATACACACAGAAGCCGAATGAAGCATAATCACCTTAGTAGCCTCGTGATTCGTGGTAAGAATTATAAAATTTAGGATATGAAGCATTAATCCATGAGCTGATTTGCCTGAAACGAAATGAGCTCAGCTCTTTTGACAAAGAGTTATGGTGAAGTGTTTTAAGTGTACAGTAATCCATATTTTTCTATAGAATAATTTAAAAAAATAATCGTTAATGCCAGCTCAAATCAACAGCATAGCCTCCGAGCAATCTTTATTCGACTTTAGACAGTGATAATCTACGAATCTCTCATCACCAAGAATAAAAAAATAGGACAGTATGAAATCAAGGAAAATTTTAGAACCCAGCATTCATGAGATAATGAAAAATTCAGTTCGACTGAATTAGCTAGTCGGACTTGGTGAGAGTAGGCTAAAAATGTTGACAAAGATTTACAGTTAGAGACTGCATGAACATTCTGATCATGATTAAAATAATTAAATCCAGACTCATGATAGCTAATGCCAGATGCATATTGAGGGAAGTGAATAAGGGGAGTAGTCGAAAGTAAATTAATTCATTAATATTGTGAGTAAAATCTCAAGAGGGAAACCAAACAATTTTATTACACAAATTCATTCCGTTCCTGCTAGGCAAATGGAAAGCGCTTAACTATTTATGGTATCCTCGAAGTAGAACATCCCCCTGGACCCTTGAGATAATTAAAATAGGTAAAGACAAGCTTAATACAATAGTAAAATTAAACTAAAAATTAAAATAACTGAAATTCGAAAAACCAAGGGAATTCTCCTCTCCTAATAGATTTAAGATTAAGCATAAGGCGTCAGGTCAGTAGAGTCATAACTTATGCGCATATGGGCGCACGTGCGCACTTACCAGGCCGATAAGTAACGGTCCCGAATAATGTCTTAACTGGTCGCCTTCTCAATCGGGAGTAGGCAATTGAGGACGATAGCCCTTTTCGATAATCCAACATTTTTGTTCCATCAAGCCGTGTCTGAGAAGCTTTTGCCTCATTCTGGTTGGCTTTTATTGATTCGCACCCGAGCTTCGAGGCACGAGAAGTGTGGCCCTCAGGAGAGGAAAGTGGGTAGGTCGCTCTTACTAAGTCGTTGATTAATTTATCTCGAGTAACTTTATTTTTCTCCGATTTTTTATTCCGCGACGTCTGGCTAGGTCGTTTTTTTCTTCGTCTGCTCCGAACACCATCTGAATCAAAGAGTCTGCCATTCTCTAGCCCTTCCGCCTTGTCTTCCTCTTCCTCCTCTATCTGACACATAGCCGGCACGGTCTCCACCAGGTGATCGCTTTGTTTAAGCATTTTTGAGCAGCCAATTAGAGGGCCGGTTTGAGGCGAGATAATAAAGTTAGGTGATGTAGATGATAGGACAGATGAGGAGACCAAGGAAAGGAAAGAAGCAGCTGAGGATAGACGTGAAGATGAGTCAGGAGAAGAATCAACAGAGCTTGTGAGTGTAGTCGTTGCAATAGTATCAGCATTAGTGGTTATCAGGTTATAGCAAGTTGTAAGATCACCACTAATAACTGAGGGAAAAGGAACAGAGGGGCATGATGGTAAAGAAGTGCCTTGTTTTGACTTGGTCTCTTCGGGTATAGAGAGCTTTTTGTGTACAAGAGTACAACAGTTTGCAGCTACAGGAGTTGTGTTAGCGATAACTCCGGAATCTGCTGTCTCAGGGCAACAGGAATAGAATGGCAAAGAAGCAGCACTCGATGATAAATGCAAATAGTCATCATCGGCGACGAACACACCCGTGTCCGGTTCTGGATCTAAAACTTCTAGACAGACTGGCTCTTGGCGTCCCGAAAACAGCTCACCAAATCGTCGATGCTCTCTTTTCCTTGAATTATAGTATGAAGTTGGAGGGAAATCCTTGTTCTGAAGATACCACTGGCGGTAGGAATGATACCTATTCTGATGCCGATAATCATCGTGACGGCCGCTAGATGCAAAATGGCTAGTCCATGAATTTGACTGAGTGGTTTGGTGTGGATATGAAGAGATTCTGTCGATAACAGCTGAGGTGGTCGAAGTCGTTGTGAGGCAAAGTGGAGACGACTGGCTTGCAGGCTGTTTTGTTGACTGACCTAGCTGTGATGGGTTGACGGGAGATGAAGTATTTTCCGTCGCACTTGGAAATTGTTTTTTTGAGAGCGAAACCTGTGACTTAGCAAATGCCAGATCTGAATAGGATTTCAATGGATCATTTCCAGAATCAAGATTTTGAGAAAAAGAGCATTGAGTATAAGGGAACTTTTCGTTCAGAAGTTGCTCTTCTTTGTGTTTACGGTAAACGCGATGGTAATAATGTCGGTGATGGCGAGAATGACGAATATGCCGATGCCCCTTTTGACGCTTGCCAGAGTCGTGAATACTCAAATGTTGGCATGTCTCAGCAAGATGCTGGCAGCTCTGAAAGTTAGTGGGAATATTTTTCTCCTGTGATGATAAGTATGCTACAGAAGAATGGCCATCACCAGGAAAAGAGAGACTGCTTACGGATGTTTGAGAAGTGAGAGTTGATTTAGTAGTCGAAACGCAGCCAGCCTCATGAGTTGGTGATACCTCAGAGATAGTGGATGTTAAAGGAAGAATTGAGGACATCTGCGAAAAGGCCGGAATAAAAGGATCAGGTGTCGGGGAAAGAGCAGATGAACGGGAAAGGCTGGGGCCGAGATCTATGTCAGCTTGCTGGAGGTCTTTACATGTCGAGACAGATGTTTTCGACGTCAGTTTGGTTGTGAGAGTAGGAGGCTTGGTGCCAGAAGATAGATGATGGGGGAAATAATACCATGGTCTCTGCTGATGCTGTTGGAGATGGCTGGTTTGATGAATTAAAAAGCATTGCGACTGAGAATGAGTAATTGCAGGGCCAGTCTGCGAAGCAATTGCTGGAGAGCGCAGATGAATTGTAGGTTTTGTGACGTTGGCATTGGCTGGACAGATAGGAATCTGTAGGCCGGTCGAGCATATTGCACTGGTCATAGTGAGAGGACATAATCCAGATACAGAAGTGCATGCACACAATGAGTGCCTGCTGGGCACAATTGTGGTGGATGACGAAGTTGAGGCAGAAGTAGTAGAGACAACGGGGGATGAGGTCGTGATTGTCATAATGCCCTTGGTGGTGGCAGAAGAAAAAGAAGAAATAGAGCCCGTTACTGTACCTATTCCGACAGTAGAAGGGCTGGTTGGGCTAACCAGAGAAGAGGAGCAAGGTGTGATAACGCCTGCAGCCACTTTTGCTGAAGTGGCGGGTAATCCGGCTGGAGGAGGTGATGGGTAAGGAGGGTGTAGAAGAGCATGCCCAGGACCCACTAGTTGGCGCTGGTGCTGATGATGCCCAGATAAGTTTGGATCTGTCAGCGGATAGTTACCAGGTATATTGGCAATAGGATTAGCCGAAACTTGGCCTAAGGGAGGCTGCGAGAAAGCTAGTAAATTAGCATCGACTGCAGCTCCGGCTGAAGATGTACTTATAAATGTAGGCACTGTAGTCTGCACCGATAGGCGCTCAGAAAGGCCATAAAGTCGAGCATCCCCTAATCGCTGCTGCTGAGGATGACAATAATGAAGATTTCCTGATGTGCTCAGGAGCCCATCAATGGATCTGGCCGCTCCAGAAGTTAAACGGCCAGTTTTCGAAGGTAGACAGTAACGAAAATGACGAGGATGATCTCCGATGAGCCGGTTCTTAGAATGAGAGAATTCGGGAAGATGCAGAGATTCGAAGCCTGCATTAAGTGAAAAGTGAGAATGGAGGAAGGATGAAATGAACAGAATACAGCTCACGATAATTATTGAGATACTAAATGAATTAAATAGTTAAAAATAGACTAATATTAGTAAAAACTTGTGTCCATATTAAATATGCACGAATGCGGTCGGGAATACCGACAAGACCCAAAGGCCAAATCTACAACCAATCACTTTCAAAACGTGATAAAGTAAATCTTCGTCTATAAGTAGGTTTTTTAGACTACTAGTAGGCAATAGATATATAAATATATATGGGATGGATTCACCTATTTTGTTAATATGAAGAAGGACTGCTGATTGAATTTTCCCACAATGATATAAATTAGCCTTACGTTTCCATTAAATTTCACATAGCCTTGCTTCCCAAAAGGTATTCTAATCCAAAATAGACAGCAATTTCAACTTCAACTAAGTCTCATCAGCACCGCAAGCGTGGCTTCAACAGTGATAAAGCATCGTATCAAGATTATACGCTGAAATATCATGGTTCGAGTTCCGATGGAGGTGCTGATGAGACATAGGTGAAGTCGAAACTTCCGTTCCACCTGGATGGGAAAACCCTTTGGAAAGCAAGGCTATGTGAAATTCATTAGAGATGTAAAACCTACTAATATCATTGTGGAAAAATTCAATCACCAGTTCTTCCTCATCTTTACAAGAGAGTGTTTACATCTCATATATATGAGAAAGTGATATTCCAGTCTTTCTTTTTGTTCATAATCAAGATATCTTTAATCATCGCCTGAAATATAAATTGAAAATGATGGGTCGTTACTCGTAACCATGACCAGTTATATTATGAGCGATGCCATCATCACATAAAAATAAATATACGTTTATAGAAGAAAGGTAAAAGTTGTCTTCTTGGGCAAGACTCAATCTGCATTAAGTTATCAAATAACGCTTTAAGAGTATACCACGTGCCTGCTTCAAAAAAAACTAGCCGCCAGGATTCGTCAAAGGGAAGAAAAATTACTTTTATCTGC